CTAGCATGTAGAGAACCGAAAGAATTTTTTGGGTGTGTGGGAGCACAGCCTGGGCGGTAGAAGCTGGAGTTTGTGTTCCTTCCTTCACCCTCCTCGCTCTGCGTCTCTTCCAGATACGGGTTTGGAGTGTCCCGTCTGCAAAGAGGACTACACCGTGGCCGAGCAGGTCCGGCAGCTCCCGTGCAATCACTTCTTCCACAGCAACTGCATCGTCCCGTGGTTGGAGCTGGTAAGCGCCTGCGCCCGGGGGAACGTCCCCGCCCCACCCGTGCGGCAGGATGAAACCCCGCGGCCGTGGAGCGGCGTTTCCCCGAAGCTCTCGCGTTTTCTCTTGCAGCACGACACGTGTCCCGTGTGTCGGAAGAGTTTAAAAGGCGAAGATTCGACTCGGCAAACGCAAAACCCCGAAGCCTCAGCGAGCAACAGCTTCAGCAGTGAAAGCCAGCTACACGACCGATGGACTTTCTGACACTCGGGAGCTTCCTCGGGGGGCTCTGGCCGGAGTGTTATCCTCCAGATGTACATTGTGTTCTCATTCCAACAAAACAAAAACCCACGAGTAGCAGGAAGCGTAGGGCAGGGGAGGGAAGCACCCTGTGTGTCGCTGCCATGAGTGCTGTCTTTTTCCTGAAAATTTAAACTAGCATCTCCGAGCGAATCGCGTCTCCATTGGAATCGCCTCTTTTAGTCCTAAATTCTGAGTCTTTGGGGTGATTTTTTGACTTGATTTTATACCTGTGAAACCTTGACTTCGATCATAGCCCAGCGGAAAGGGTGGGGAAGCCGGTGCAGGGAGGTTTGGGGGTCCCCAGGTCTTTCCTGCGTCCCTCCAAAGCGGTGGCAAAGGGGGGGGTGGGCGTCTCCGGCACGGTGACGGGATGGAACGGAGATTTTCCACTCCTCCGACCCTTTCCCTGCCCCGTGAAGCGTGTGGCAGGCAGAAGTGAAGCCAGGAGGGGTTTGGGATTTTTTTTATTTTTTTTTGCCCCTCCTGTGCATCCCAGGGACGGTGTCTGTAAGCGTTCGAGGTTTTCTCAAGGGCGAGGCAGCGGCTCCGCAGCCCCGAGGAGCGCGGTGCGGCCGCGCAGGAACCCCCCCGTCTGGGAGTAGGAAT